GAAATACAATGGGAAATAGCTTTTCTTTCCTGACAAATACTATAGGAAACAGTACACTTTTTAATTGCAGTGCATTTTTATTTTTTCGAATTTTCCAGAAATGCGTAAAAATCCGTAATCTATTAATTGAAACTTGTCTGTATTTAATATTGTCCATTCTGCTTTGTTGTTATAAAAATATAATAGATATAGAATCTATTGCGATCCACTATATAACATTTCGTAGTTTTCATGGACTTTTGAAAATGTAATGTCATTTACAAATTTACAGTTTTTACATAGAATTAAAAAAAAATTAATATAAAAATTTTGTGTAACTTCCTTGTATTAATTATTTAATTATATTTTTGTATAATTATTAGCTATGATAACCGTCCGTTCATGGAAACAATATATTTCAATATATTAGATAAATATAAATATATTAATTGAGATTTATTTATTAGGCGTATATTCTTTATTATGAAAGATAATTGTCTTTGGCAGAATATATAATATATAATATTCATTTTCACAAAACCCTAAGCTATTTTGGTTACAACGCAATGTAGTATTAGTAAGAATTGACTCATTTTTGTTAATCGCATGGTTAGATGTATACATGATGAGAAACTAATGGCGCAAGACAAGGGAAGATAATTAAAAAATGTACAGTAAGATTTCTTCTAATATTTTGAAGTAAATCTATGCTGGACAGCTATAGAGCACGCGTGCGATTCACTGGTGTACGTACACATGAAAAAACTCCCAACGTGAAAGCAATTTTGATGAAACTTTGCGAGATTGTACAGTATGTTGGACCATACAAAAAGAGTTTTCTTTTTCACCGGAAATTCACTCTGAAAACGTGAAATCAACTCTCAAGGGCTTCATGGTTTCTCTTTTTCGGATGTAACTTTGAAACCATATGATGAATATATTGAAAAACATACTGTTTGTAAAATAAAACCGAAGCTTTTACCGACCATAATAAAATACGAATAAACGTACAATAAGCCACGCGGAAGTATCGAAATGTGTGCAAACATGAAAATAAATGTTTTGTTACACGTTTTTTAAATATTTACACAGGTTCTAATATGCATTTAATTTGTTCGCAAAAGTATTTGTTAAATTTCGCACATATTTCATTCATTTCAAACGATTTCATTAATATTCGAAATGTTTTATGAAAAATTACAAATTTTTAAATTATGCAAAATTACAAATTAAATTAATTAGGAAATAAGGGTATATTCATAAAATGAGTATCATAGACAGTTTTGTATGGAGTTCTTATCATCAAATTAATCTTTCTTCATAATTATAAGTATGAATAATTATGATATAAAGGTAATAAAAAGACAAATTTTCTATTTACACTCCTCTGTTCATGAAAAGAGACTGTGTGATATTTTTACATATTTAGAAAAAATAATAAATCAATTTGCCTTATATTTTTACATTTCGAATAACAATACCGCTAACGTTGAAATTTATGAATTTAATATATGTTGTCAGTATGTAATAAAAAAGACACATTGAGCTTTCTGTAATGAAGAGAAAGAAGTGTACTATTATATATAATGTAGTGGACACATTTAACACAACACACGTATGTTTTAATGAGACACCATTTATAAAAATGCGCGGCGCACTTCTTTTCAAAATGATACGTCTCAGGTATTTACACAGCTCTGCACGGAATGTCCATATTCCCACCAAATTTTTTCCGCGAGAATTCTTTCGCTTTCGGAGGTATTCGTCTGAATATCTGACGCCGGCATAATTTTACTCTCCGCTCTTTGAGGTTACAAAATTTCGATGCGCGGGTACATCTCCACACAGGATGAATTTAATGGATGGATTCTGTGTGCGCTCAGCGATGCTAGAATACATTTTTATGAGACCGTTTAGAATGCAGCCTCCCGCTGACGCTGTCGAAGCTGGTTTTTGTATTTCTCGGTCTTCGACGTTTCATAAATAACTTATCGCAAAAATGTCGTTTTGTGCTTCATAATTAACACATCATCTACTTCCGGTTATTGGAAAGTTTTTTGAAGATTTCTAATCAATGCTGAGAGATTTCTTATTGAAACTTTTAATAGTACTGGCAATTACAATTTTGAAACAGTAAATTATATTGGGTAATATAATGTAAGTATTGTTTAAGAACTATTGTTCAAAGAAAATTAATAGTCTGCTTTTTAATAGTAAAAAACTATACAAAAATATACATTCGAACAAATCTTAAAACGCGTGTCTGACCATTGCTAGTTATTTCTACTTATATTTATCGACTCACTAATTATTCAAGCATCATTTATTATTGCATACAGTAAATAAATGAATTACAATGCTAAAAGTGTTGTAAAATTATTGAGAGGTGTGTAAGATAACCTGTATTCGTTATGCGTAAATGTAATAACTGATCGACAGACTCATTAGTGAACCACACGTAATAACCTACTTGCAACGAATATTTGAATCGAATTTTAAGTTTTATTCACATTTGTGTATTATCATTTTTTAAACTATTAGTTGGAACTGTAAAACAATTTTATTTTTATATTATATTACAGAACATTATAATATATTATTTAATATTTAAGTATCAAACTTCTATATTATTGATATTTCCTCATAATATCGAAATATCATCAAAAATGATATTAACCCTGAATCACTAAACTATATTCTTTTCTGTAATATTTTTTAATATCACATCAATATTATAAAAAGGACATAAACTCTTGCACATCTTTTCAGAATAGCGATATAAACAATCATAAATACATTAGACTGCTTAACAATATAATAAATTAAATTACATAAATAATAGATAAAGTATTTATTTTGATGGAAATTTGTGATCTAGGATTAACACTAAAACTACCAGACTGGTCAAAATGACCCACTCCTGATTTCTTCTTTTTCCAATTATTAAACAAATAACAGATGTTTCCCTGAGAAATTATTAAAGAAATTGATTTGGCAATACGCAAACTGAATCATAAATCGATTAAAGTCTCAATAGATGCACTCTTGAAGTTTCTATATGGGGATTTCAAAAAGTCAGTTAACTGCTTAGTAGTTTTAGTGTTAAGAAATATATTTTCAACATTCCCAAGAGAAGAGGTTTTTCTGGTTAACAGGTTAAATGTTGCACTTCCTTTCCATTTCTTGGCCCCATTTTTGTCCAATTCATTCTTTTTCCATCCGTTCTCGTTTTCTTCCTTTTTTCTGTCCTTACCCAACTTACTTCCGCTTTCTTCCTTTTGTTCTCAGGCACTTTCGTGGACGATCATAACGTCGAAAGTGAAATTGCGAATAATTCTCGTCACTATGGTAAAAGGCGACTTTAATGGGACTCCTGTCCGAAATTTCTGCTTAATACGTACTAAGTGGACTATTTCGCTGCAGAATTAGATTTCTCTCCTGATTATTAATTGCGTCGGTGTTTCTGTTAACGGGTTCTACTCGCAATACGATGTAATTATTTCAGTTAAACGACCTCGAGACAATTAGACTAATTGCATCCAGTTAAGCGCCCGTTCCTCCGTTTCATCGGCTTCCTTCTTTCCGAATGTAATTCAAATAATTTTTCGCCCGTTGTTTCCTCGAGAACTGTTTATTACTTTTAGACAATTTGTTCGACTCTCAGAGGATCTTACATTTACCTTTTATAGTCGTCTCTTATATGTTGTTTTCTTTTGTGTGTTTTTAATTTTAAACTGATGAAACGAAGTATTTTCTTAAACAAACTTTATGTAATTGTCATACCTGAATGATTAATTTATAAATTATATCAAGAGAAATGAATATTTTTCACACTAATATTACCAGACGAGTTAAGATAACCCATTCCTGATTTCTTCATTTTGGAATTATCAAAAAGACAACAGTCCTAAATCAATTAAAATCTCGATAGATGCACTCTTGAAGCTTCTATACAGGAATCCCAAAAAGTCAATTTAACTGGTGAGTAGTTTTAGTGCCAAACCAATAAATTTCATTTTAACAAATTCAGGGAGACACGAAAATAATATCAAACGATTTCCACCATAAAGGAAATAATGAATGTTCTGAAGTTCGGCGCACGCCTTTGAATATTTCCCATATAAACGTAAGAGATATATCTCTTGATATTTTATCATATGTCAAATGTTTAATTGTATAAATATTACAATAAAATAATCCACATTGTTTTAGAAACAAAATTTTTATTTGACAATGGTATTAGGAAATTTGTTTTTGAAGAATGCTTATACATACAGAGCTTAGCAACAAATTTAAAATATTAATGCTAACAGAAAGTGTTCAATAAAAGAAATATAACAATCGTAATTAAAATTATCCATGTATTTAATATAACAAATGAATTTTAACCCCCTGCTCTGTGATTTATTTCTTAACTATGATCGATACAATTACTTTATCGTTCCTAATTTATTAAGAAATGAAAAAATATTGATACTTATTCTATATCTGCGTGTATTTCGAGGCTTAACGATTGATAATAGACAAGTAATATATAATTTATATGTAAAAAATAAATACCACTTAGATTTCCTAAATTCAGTTTAAAATTTTTGTCACGACTCCGACACGATATTGTAAATGAAGGTGTTAATAATAGCTACAAAATTTATTGTAGAATTTAATATTTTAAACGGGATACTAAAAAAACAATATACGATTTTTCTGTAATATCTTCGATTTAAGATGCAAAAATATAAAAATCCTTTTCTCTTTGAGTATAATGTATTTCATATAAAATATTTTATCATTAAATTAATAAACAAATCTAAAATAAAGAGTGATTTTAACAAACAGATTTCATTTATTCACCTTGTATATTTATATTATAGACTACAATTTTTTCCTGTTATCAAACACATTCTTCCTTAATTTTCCGCGGACATCTCGAGGCAACCATAAATGGCAATCGTATCCGCCGTTGCCTCGAAATTTGCTTTCGGTAAGTGACTTAACTAATTATAACAAAATTGTGGTTTCAGAAATGGCACCCTGGCCTAGCCAAAGCGGCGCAGAGATGGGCCAATAAGTGTCTCGGTCTGGTTCACGATAACGCGACAGGACTGTACTTAGATGGCTTTGGTCAGAGTGGACAGAACATCTTCATTACCACGGGACGAACACTCTGGTAATTATAAAATTGTTTTATCGTTCATGCGTTTCAGGGTTCATAAAGCATTTAACTTGCATTCACGGCATAATATGTGGACGGCAGTAAAAGTTTCAGGGAAAAACGAGAAATGTCACAAATACGTTTGAATTAATTTTAAATGATTTTTAAATTAATAGTAAGTAACAGTAGGTAATTATTATTATTATATAACAATAAGATAGATTTTAAAATGGACCAATTTCACCTGTCTGGTAGTTTTAGTGTTAAAATTACGCTGCTATAAAACAAAAGAAACTAAAACGACATAATGAAATTTTGTTATACTTTAATTTTAAAATTATAGAACTTTGCAAGTAAAATCATATGCTCCTACGCAATAGTGAAATGTTAATTCTTTTACGTTGTGTTAGCACGGCCTGAACCTAAAAATGTGAAGCTTTACGGAAATAATAAACTGAACAATTTACGTATATACTTATACTGCATTTTACTCATAAATTACGCAATATACAGTACAGGGTGCTACGCATTAAAATAGAAAAATATATAATAATACACAATGGAAAATAGTACATGTATAAACATATGCCTGATATGACCTTATGTTTTCTTCCATTTACTGTTCTTTTAAATTTGCTACAGAAAATTGGTTTCCACGATACGATTCCACTAGTTTCATAATGGTTTCCAGATTAATTATACTCATTGTATTTATTACTCTCAGCCACGTGCAACTGATTAGCATCTTGATTAAAATCATTTTGAACCATATAGACACATGAGTAAACGAGGAATCTTTACATATGATCAAAATTTCCCAAAGTGGTTTAAAGAAACAAGAATTCAATGGACACTGATCTTATCTCTTAAGAATTTTAATAAGTTGAAGATAAAGTAATGGCATTCTTAAATTCTTATAAATATTTCCCTACTTTATATTCTCCGGAACCAAATTTCTTCTAAATATACAAAACTTATTGCCTAAGTATATACGATATTATAAAGAAGTAATGTTATAGGATCAACGATAATGTTAAATATTTGGAAAATTCCGATGTAATTAAAATATTTACTATAATTTGTAATTAATACTGAATTTATATAAGAAAAATATTTTTAATCGTTGTATTGATGTGAAAAATAACGGAAGCAATACAATTATATTATGTGTTTTATACAAGGTGATTTATAAATGCATGTTCATAGTTTAGATGATTGGTTTACACATGAAAATAAGTAAAACGTTGTTAAAGAAAATATTCAAAATGTCTGCCCTGTGCCTCGTCATACTATATACAAATACTAGATGTTCCTCGAATATTCTCAAATCTAGAGAAATGTTAAAATTTTATTTAATTACTTACAACTCGTAAACTAAGATATGCAGGGTATTCCATTTTAATCTATAAATGTAATAATTTTCAAAAGTATTCGTTATTTAGAAAATGTTTATATGCAATTTCTTCTGTTTTGAAAAATTTGCATTTGATATATTTCTCAACACATTAAATTCCACACGATTCCATAGAGCAAAATACACAATATAGAAAAAATATGATATTAAATCATTTGATTGAACTACATTATTAGTATTGCACTTATTAGGTAGCATTATTTGTAACATAGTTATAATAAGACAATGTTTTCAAATAATCGTCGTTTAATTCAGTGAATTATAGTAAATCAATTTGGTTAGGGGTCATCGGTGACCCCCATAACATTCAACGTGTTAACGCTTTGTACTCAATTTTTTTTCAATGTTGTTGAGTGTAAACGTAAACTTGTATTTATTTTTACGGAAATAAATTAACGTAATTCACAGAGGTAGAGTTCAACGTTTTATATTCATTTTATTTATTATTATTATAATAAGATTTAAATTTTATACTCTTTTAAATTGTGGTACTTGTGGTAATCGTGATTGCTGTTACACATTAAAATGGGACACCCTGTATACCATATAAGTTCATAAAATGTTCCTTACCCAAGTTCCCATGTAAATCCACCAGAAGTAGACACGTGCATTTATGAATCACCTTGTACATCATGTCATTCAACGTTTTTCATATTTTCTTTCCCATCGCACAGTTGTGACGTCGGTATTCGCTGTATCTTAGATATTAAATTCCAGCGGAATCTATTGGAAACTGCCGAGAGAACATTCCGCGGTAAGTAATGCTTGCATTCCTTGGTTTTTTTGTTAAGGCGCGCGCCGCTTGGTAATCATGTTACGTTTCAATCCGTGTCTGTGGATCTCTTTTCCGCGGCGCAATACACCTGCCCATGTACATACCAGCAAAGTATCTCTTTCAACCACCGCGGATTATTGTTTCGCGGTGTTCGAGCCAGTCGTGGAATTCCGTCGCATGCAGCGGTGAATTCCGATTGGCAGGTATCGCGGAATGCCGACGAGGAACTGGATTTCTGTCGAATTCATCCGGCTGCGTGTTTCAATTAATCGAATTTTTCATCTTCCCGCGGTCCTGCGGGCGCCCGTTAAAAAGTTCAGAGGGATCCATTTTCACATCGACCATTCCGGACGTTTTAAATAATTTTATTATTGAATGCGCCGTGCACTTTCATTCGCTCAGCAACATACGCGTTCAGGGGTGGGGAACTGTCCGAGAGAGCTAGATGAAATATTATTTCAAATCCTGGGCAGTGGATAGTTCAAATCGAAGTTGAAATAAGTTTAAAACGGAACGGTGAAATGTTCTTTGATTTCTAGGGGCTTGGCGTTTTTCGCGTTTCTAAAGAGAATAGGCTTAAATAGTAAGAACTTTGGGATGCATTTTTTTTTGTTAGGTCAAAGGTATTTAACCCTTTCGATACGGCTATGTTTTCCGCGTATATTGTTTTACTGGACGGTCAGTTAAAACACGAATATGTATTTTATCGAGGAATGTAATGCATTATAAATATTTAAATTTTAAAAATTGTTAAATAGTTTAATTCCGTGTGATAAATTTAGAAACAAGGATACGCACATAAACCTACATCACATGATTTATAATGGGTTATTTACAAAAATATCAGTGGATGACTATAGTCACCGTTAGTATCAATGGGTTAAGGTAAACGTGAATTTATTTGCTTTTTAATTGTTCCTTGATTGGTAGGGGTTTGACGTTTCTCGCATTTATAAGAATAGTAGTAGCTTAAATGATGAGAATGTTAAGAGATATCCTTTTGTAAGTAAAACTAGTGTTTAAAGTTCAGCTAAACTTATTTTGTTAAGTATTGTGGCTGTTTAAGGAACAATATTACTTTTTTTCTTACGAGGAAAGTTATCGAACTCGAAAATTCAAAGAATTATGAAACTATGCGTAAGTAGAGTAAGTCAAGCCTAATACATTGGAATTTTTGTTTCGTGCCCAATTTCACTTTGAAGGACTGAGACCACCCCTTGAAGAAATGCAAATTCTTGTTCCCATGAATTATCTTGGGAACGGTAAGAGATAGCGAACACAAGTTTAAACAAAAGATACATTGTTCTTTCGCATCTATACAATTGCGAAGTAAAGTTTTTCAGAAAGTTTTAGCGGCGGAGATATTTCGAAAAATTTGAACCGAAAATCAAATCACATCAAATTTACTCGCAACATTTCACATCGATTATATTATCATTCGTCTAGCACTTAGAGTAATTGAAGGTGTAAGAGTTGTTCCAACTTCGCAGACCGTAAGTAGAAAAAACAATTTTTGCTCAGCCACGAAAGTTCTGACTCGCTGGAAGTTAGAATCCGCAGGTATTGTTCTATTTCTGTCTAACGATAAGTTGCCATCACATTCATTGCTCTCCTTCGGGAGCCACCTGTTGATGTTCAATGAACAATTGTCGCTGATGTTACTTTCATGTCTTCTTGCGACGCAAACAATGCCGATGGAACTGTGCAGGCAACCGCGTCTCGTTTTCAATGCGTTCCGCGCGATTCTTTCGGAATCCGACCGATTATTCAAATATCGATCTTCGTAAATGAAATCGGATAATTGAAATTTGTCACTTTAATTCATTACTTGTTCGAGCATTTTTCTTGCCAGATATTTTTTAACCCGTTGTTTATGATTCTACAACTTTTTGTCGCAGATTGTTTAACCAGTTAACTATGGAATTTAGATTGAAAAATCTCTCATCGTGCGTGCAATAAAATCAGATCATAATAATAATATATTCTAACGAAAAATTACAGCAAAATAAAGAAGAATTACACATTCATCTGAAGAAATAAGTAATTTATTGTTGAAAAAATTAGTACCAGTTCGCGTTTCAAGATGACATGTATACTCGTCGAACACAGTTAACTGATTAAAATGTTAATTTCAGGAATAAGAAATTATCTTCATTAAAAAGCGATTGTTATATGTAAATTATTATATTTAATTACAGCTTGCGAAAGTAAATATGGAAAGCTTTTGAAATGATAAAATTATTGTTTTGTCGGAACTGCCCGAACGTATATTACCATTTTTTGAAAATTTCTATACAACTATGAGTCTGTACAGATCCAAATGAAAAATCCCAAATATTACAAACCATGACTGATTTTTTTGCATTATTTTCGAAAGAAATCGTTCATTTTATAGTACCACGTTTGTAAAATTAAAGATGGAAAAGAAAAATTCTGTTACACCTTTCTATATTTATAAATTATTTTATGTCATATAAAAGTATCTTTTATCCATAAGTAGTAGCAGAAAATTAAAAATCATTCACTGTTAGGATCCTAAATAATTTCAAATGAAATGTGCTACTTAATGATGCGATATAGTATCAGTCCTTTGCTCCAAAATTCGGCTGTTGTCAGACGCCATTGTATGTACTTATCTTTTGCGATACTGAACTTTGGTCGACGATAGTGTCAGACTTTATTCTCTTTGTTTGCGAGACTCGACAATATTCTCCTTCACATCTGTTGGATTATTTAACACTTGTAGCCTTCGTGGTGTTTGTCTTAGCATCTAATATTTTCTCAAGGAGCAGGTATATGAATCGCAATTATTCATAGTTTGGGAAAATTTGTTGTATATACGAAATTGTCAGATCTATAAAATTCTGTCTCTTGTAAGACAAACAGAGAGTTTATTAAGTAAGATAATAGTTTATATCTTATCTTTTATCATTTAAAGTTCCACTGATTAGAAATACTATCTTGTTAATCATTTGTTTGAAGGACAGGGTATTCTATATTTATGGCAAAATAACATTTACTCTAACAAATAACCATTGAATTATTTGTTTCCCCCTTTTTAACTGCAGAATATAAAATAACACATAGTTGTGAGACAAAAATCTAATAGTAAATATTCAAGTTTATTAAGATTAGTTTAAAACGTGCTCTGCGAGATTATTGCGATATTATAGGACGAGAGATTACAAGATCTACGTCATACTAATGAAAATCAATATTTTAATTTTACTCGGTTTTTGAAAGAAATTGAAATTCTGTTAAGTTGTAGAAAAGTTCGCAAGTAAAAACAAAATCTTAATATTATCTTTCTTTTGAGAAACTTGTCAGTAAGTTCCAATTAAATAAGTTTGAAACACCAAGGTATTATATGAAAAATACTTTTATGTAAATCTGATTATCCAAAACTAAACAAGACAGATTACATCATACAAATACAAATACAAATACAAATACAAATACAAATACAAATACAAATACAAATACAAATACAAATACAAATACGAATACAAATACAAATACAAATACAAATATAAATGTTATATTCATATTGCATATTTATATTTATAATACAAAAGAACTGTTCTTATAATCTTAACGTATTAATTATTCGTACATTTACCTCACATTAATACACCGATGAATTCAATAAACAGACGAGCCTGTTTCATTTCCAGGAACTTCCCCATTAGAATGTGGTACATGGAGTACAAAGACTACAAGTACGGCGACGACCAAGCGAACGATCTCCACGAGATCGGCCATTACACCCAAATCGCGTGGGCCTCGACGCATCTCGTCGGCTGCGGCGTCAGCCATTGCACCGGCAGTAAAGGTCCGCTCGGCAAAGACTTCTTCATGTATGTTTGCAACTACGCTCCGAGGTGAGTAAACCAAAAACATAGAAATACAAATATTTTATTTTATTATTTGTGCATTCTTGTGAATTAACTTTTCCTAAACCGAAAACAAACGGAAAAGAAACAAAAGAGAAAGAAAAGGGAAAAAGGAAGAAAGAAAAGAAAGAAATAAAAGGAAAAGTAGAAATATTACGAGTTGCGAAGGAACTCCGGCGTCATTCCCCTCGCCCCCGCCATTATATCGCCGTTTGTTTCCTGACGGTTGGAAACTTCATTTTATAGCGGTTAAGCGATATCTTCGGGAGAAAGTAGTTCGCTTGGAGAATAACAATCGCGACGCGAGCTTTTATAAGATTACCGAGCTATTGAAAGATACAGCAGAGGATGGTCTACGCCCGCTTCGAATGGTTAAAAGGGTTTTCTGGACGACTGGTAGTAGATATTCCCTGCGAGTGCCGCTTTAATCCCGCGCTATGCAGTTTTGCGTTCTTGGAAGTCTGAATGCTTTCTAGATTTTTGGTCTGAAGGACCTTGGGTCGTAAATTCGAATTCGCTTATTTTGTTCGTAAATTAAGATTTATCATAGCGACTGGTCTCTCGGCGTTCCTGCCTTTTAGAAAGCGTTGGTTTATTTAATCGGGGAATGTACATATACCGAATTTATTTCACCCTTATATGTACAACCATAATAACCAGGTTGTTTGACAACCGTGTACCGGGGTAGCCGAATCGGTTCACCCAATCAGATTTTATATAAAATAATGATTTTCTGCCGAAATATATTAGATTTTATTATGAGTACAAACGAAATAGTATTTTATAAATTTAAATAAAAAAATTGTAATGTATGATTAGAAAATCATCTAATATTAAAGAGTATAGAGTAGACTTGTATCAGTCGGCGAATTGTATCAGTTCAGGTTTAACAACGAAAAACTAATAGTTAAAAACTGGAATCAACATATCCCTGTTCATAAATTTCTTATTAATAAATATTCAGTTTCAATATCACAGAAGACAAATTTTTATAAACTTAAAAATCTTCCTGTTATAAGTAAAAAACGGAAAAGTGAGAAATATCCGATTCGCCCGGAATTTGGGGGTGAATCATAATCACGAGTCTGATACGCTAATATAGGTCATGGGAATAATCATATCTAAATAGAGTCTATTATCTCATTCTTTATCTATTATTATCTAAATGATCTAGGACCTAGCATCGTATAATCTTTTGTCTAAACCTATCATTATCTAGTTTATTATCTGATCTGTTATCTAAAGCCTATTATTATCTACTTTATTATCTGAAACCTATTTGTTTCTATCGCTGTCGAATGGCACAGAAGTTTATCGATTTTCTTAACATTTGTTACAATGAGAAACCGTATTATGTAGAAGCGACTGTGAAAATACCACTTGTCAGGGAACAAGGAAATTGCACAAAGCATGCCAGTAAAGCAGGCGCGATACAATGTAGGGCGGCAATAATACACTCGTCTATGAGTTGGAGCACCTTGTCCGCGTTCTCTTCAGGGCACTGGTACACCTACCGAGCACTTTCATTTCGAAATTTCTGTTATTTTCAGAGGTTTTCGTGGCTTAGTTATTTCAGAAACATCCAGTCGGGCTCCGTTGTTTTTATTTTGCTCTGAGGAACCGCGAATGCTCGTTTAATTTGGCCGGGTTTCAAGTTAAACACGGAGAACTAGTAGGACTTTGTAGACACAAATGAAACATTAATAGTAATTGAACAATATTTTAATATTAAACTTTTGTGTATTATCTTCAGGAGTATCAGGAAAATGTTGACTTATTAATGAAGTGTTAATAGATTTATTGGAATTATAAATATTCGATGGTAACGTGAAACAACAGAATGATTTCTTAACATGTTGACTATCACGAGAATTTTAAAGCATTTCGTATAATACTTATTCTTTCATAACAAAGGCAAATGGAAATAAAATTGATTATTAATGATTTGATATCGTGATTCTTAAGTTATACTATTATACAACTTCTTATGTTACTAAATACTTTCATTCGATATTATATTTCTTTTTGAAGTCATTTCGATTCATCAGTGACCGGCATGACAGTCAACACGTTAATACTGGGTTTATGGAACACGTTAATTTGACACATATTGAATTTTATAAATATTATTTGGTAAACGCTTACGTCGATTTCGATTGATACGATTACAAGGTTTATCCTAATTGTTTGTTTTCAACCTCTAACATTCAAGATCTAATGTGATAAATCCTTTATTAACTTATGAAATAGTGTTAAATTTTTTATTAATTTGAAGTTTTATTTACATGAAAATTTTATGGGTTAATGTTGTACCAGATTTAATAAAATTAAATTGACGAAGATATGTTAAACGTTACTTGGAACTTTTACTTGTTTTTCAGTAATTAATTGTTGTTATACAAGTGTGTATATGAATTGATATATATCTACGTATTTAACATATTATATTTTGTTTATTGCTCGGATAATGGTTTTTTTATCGAGTTATATTTATATTTTACATGTTTGTGGTATCTTGCAATTTGTGTATTTAATAAAAGTATTAAATTATTAAAAACTCAACAAACGTTCGGCATCATTCCGCGTTCAAACGATACATTTATGTTTCTGATTGATCAAACGAAGTGTACATATACTTTAATCCAATAATTTACTCAGTTATTCAATTTTTTTTAACTACGTTAATTTTTGACATATAAACCACCACGATGGTCACCGATGACCGGAGCGTCCAAAATACTAGGAAAAAACTACAAGAATAAAACTGATATCGAATCAAAATATTTAGTAACACGAGTAACTAAATAATAGTATAACTTAAAAACTACAATACCAAACTATTAATAACTAATTCTAATACCATTTGCCGTTATTATGATACGGTAACTAATGTTACACGAATCGTTCTAAATACTCATAGCGATCAACGTCAATCAAGGACACTATAATCCCCATTAAATGGAAAGCTTTAGTGATAAATCAGTTAACCAGTTAACAACTGTCTGACGAATATACCTGTTACCTTGAAACCCAAAATGATACTAATTTTTCAACAACTAGTTACTTGTTTTCTCAAGTAGAGATTTTTTATTTTTCTTTAGTATTTTATTACAATAATTCCGCTGTTACCTGATTAAATATAAAATGTTACAATTTCACACGTATTTATTGCTATTTCCGATTACTTTTATCGATTTTAATTAACCTATTTAATTTATATTTAAAACTAAAGTAAATAACATTCAGATTTGTCGGATTCAGTTTCAAATCTTCATTATGAGTCACCATATTACAAACCAATGGGTTAAAGGCTCTAAAAGTACAAATACAAAGTTAATTACCTATCTTATCGTCAACATCCCTCGTGAAAACCGTCTAACAAAAGTGTCTCGCACAATTTATCGCCAACGTGCACCGTTAAGCTGGTTCATATCGTTCATTCGAGGTAATGACGTGATTATTGCCGGCTCGATGTTCGTTCCGCTGGAAACTCGCTCTATGGCGGATGAAAATGTATACAAGTGGATCATTGCAATCGAGAAGTTTCTTCTGCGAATCACGGAGATTCCGAGAGGCCACGGGAAAAGCATAATCTGGAAAATTGCGGCGGAGAAACAAATTTATGACGGCACTTGCCGCGAGGGGGGAGAAAAAGGAAGCGGCTGCGTAATTTAAATTCTCTCCGTTCGTCTTTTTTACCCGCCGGTATCGAGCCGAGGAAATATTAGACACGCGTACGCGCGCGCGCGCGTGTGCGACTCGCCTGAAGATATATGGTTCCGGTTAGAACAGAAACGAGAATGAATTTGCCGAGGAATTAGAACGGACAGAAAAAATTGCGATCGAGAGGAAACGAGGTGTGAAATGAGTTGGCGACTTGCAATTCGCACGTCGTTCTTTACCGTTAAAACTGATAATTAGGGGCTTTAGAAGTGTGCAATCTCTGAACCGATGTCAAGATTTGTTTCGATGTCAGGAATGATTGTTTTATAAATATTTGTGTTATTGAGTGGATAAATTCTTATTATATGAAATCCTGGTTTGAATAATAATTATTTGTTAATTGCAATAAACTCCGTTATTATTCTTTTATTCTAATCATTGTATTTCGTTTACTATGTTTATCTATTTTAATGTTACGTTTTTCTTTACTTACACATACAATGCAAGACTTGTTTACATCAAAGCTGAAATTTAACTTATGCAAGCAAGAAAAGGAAAGCTTATCAAGTAAGATAATAAATTATACCTTATCTTGTATCATTTAAAGTTCTACTGATTAGAGATACCTTCTTGTTACTCATTTGTTTGAAGGACAGGGAATTCTATATTTATGGCAAAATAACATTTACTCTAACAAATAACCATTGAATTATTTGTTTCTCCCTTTTTAACTACAGAATATAGAATAACGCATAGTTGTGAGATAAAAATCTGATAGCAAATATTCAGGTTTATTAAGATTAGTTTAGAACATGCTCTGCGAGATTATTGCGATGTTATAATACGAGAGATTACAAGATCTACGTCATATTAATAAAAATCAATATTTTAATTTTACTCGGTTTTTGAAAGAAATTGAAATTCTGTTAAGTTGTAGAAAAGTTCGCAAGTAAAAACAAAATCTTAATATTATCTTTCTTTTGAGAAACTTGTCAGTAAGTTCCAATTAAATAAGTTTGAAACACCAAGGTATTATATGAAAAATACTTTTATGTAAATCTGATTATCCAATCCATTTGATCATACTCAAAGTACTTTAATAAATTACAAAATGAGTACGGACGTGCGTATTAATATTACGATTATTATTACTATTAGTGTTATTGTATTATCGCAGTGCAAAATTGTGAGGGTCACCCATGTAGTCGCAAAGGAAAGAAAATAGTAACAAGTGACTACTATCTTCATGTTTTGGATCCTGTTCGGTCAGCAATTCGCAACAAACGACGCGGTTTGTTGTCCAAAGGAGTGTTTTCCCAGTACGATAATGCAGAGTCGAACAGGAACCACAAAACCAAAAAGAAACTGCAAGCATTCTACACCTACAGAAATCCTTCCACATCCTTCTCAGAGTACCGACACAACACGGTTAGATTTCCATTTGGTTGGTCCTTTAACATGTGTGCTACAAAAGCCACACATTTGTAACAATCCCAGTTTTGTATTCTGAAACATAGAAAAAGTAAAGTTGATATTGTCCAAATTTTGATTGGAAATTATATCGCATAAGATGATGCTCTGAAGATGAAGAATATAAATCTGTCTATATGAATATAATTTTATATAATATATGAATATAAATATGTTGATATATTTATATTTATATTTATATTTATATTTATATTTATATTTATATTTATATTTATATTTATATTTGTATTTATATTTATATTTATATTTGTATTTATATTTGTATTTGTATTTGTATTTGTACTTGTACTTGTACTTGTACTTGTACTTGTACTTGTACTTGTACTTGTACTTGTACTTGTACTTGTACTTGCACTTGCACTTGTACTTGCACTTGCACTTATACTCACACTCGCACTCGCACTCGCACTCGCACTTGTACTTGTACTTGTATTTACATTTATATTTATATTTATATATCTATTTATATATCTATTTTTTAATATTTCAGTAATTTCTGTCAAAGGATATATTGCATTTAAAGAGCATTTAAAAATTTAAAAATTAAATTCTGATTTTGAGCTGAATGAGCATTGTTAAAGCTGGGTTGAAAACACATGCGTTTATTGTAATGTTATAACTAATTTACATGTAATAGCGTGTCTAACATTTTTCTACTCATTATTCAGTAGTTCAACTGCTATCTTCAAGAAGAGTTCTTGAAGATCCTTATAATACAGAAGCATAGAATTCGCTTTCCATTCAAGCAGAAACTAGTTCTTTACCCGAGTATTCTTCAATTTCCTTTGATGCTGGCGTGCAAGGGAATTCTTCCCTTTTTCAATTTTCATTTCGATTTTCAAGGGAAAATCTTCTGAATATTGCCATCATTTTTATGATACTATAGATTATTGAATTTTTTACTTCCATATTGTGCAACGCTGTCACAGTTTTTCGATTTTTGTGCATGTACTGCAATTCTTTTAAAATCACCGAAAGCGATACAATTATACGTCAAATAAATATACGTTACATAGAATACATTATACACATACACAGAATTATGCATCAAATCTTATGTATACCTTTAACCCTTTGAACTCGAAAGGTAACTTCCAATCACCATTTGATTTGATATAACAAAATTACAAAGTGTTATATATAACATTAAGTTTTGTACAATGCATCAATATGTGAAGTATTTATATAAAATAGCTTTGTTTCTTAATTTACGTATGTTTTCTCACTAGTTCGTTTCAAATAATGTCATCTACGTTTTATCGGAAAGTGTCGAATGTTTCTAGTGAAAAGCTTCCGAGTGCAAAGGGTTAATTGTTAATATTACGCTTACATATATAATAATGGAGGAAAGTAAAAAATAACTGTGTCATGAAAATGAGGGTTATTAGGTATTTATTTTCAAAATATATACATTATTTAGTTAACACTTGAAATTAATATTTATATTTAAGTTATAATGAATTGCACGTTATTAATAAATTAGTTAGTGACAGTGGGACAAAAGTAAGTAGACAGACCATAAAATAAGTATTAACTACTATTAACATTATAAATGAGCAGTAATTAATAGATAATATTCCTCCCCTCGGTTTAGCAGCTGCGTTTTAGTGACATTATAATGTTCAATTATTGAAATTATGAATAGTTTATATTCTGTAATCATATCAACTATCTGTGAGACCGTTAAAAATAAGATATCATTAAAAATAAAACATTTAACATGAAACAACGTAATTTTTCGAACTATTCTAACATTCGTTATTCGATTTCTAATTCCGCTTGCAAAGGTAGAATTCGAAATTATCCATCTACCATGAGACAGGTTGAAGAAACGAAGTAGAAAAAATTCAATTGGTATCTGTATAATTTTACCGCAGGTCAAAAGTGACCCGATCACCGAACAATTCCTATAGTTAAGTTAGAAGGTCCCTACTCCCACCATAGAGGGATTAAATCAGTAATATAAATTTAATCCTCTCTTCCGCATGGTACACATAGGTACCACGAACATTTTAACCAGTTAACTGGATTTGACGAGTATACACGTCGTCTTAAAACACTGAATGGTGTTAATTTTATCAACGATGGATTATTTACTTTTTTAGACAAACATGTATTTTTTCTTCGTTTCGCTTTAGTTTTTTGTTAATATATATTATAATTGCGTTTGGCCTGTATTTTACGAGTATATACTTCATTATTTGATTTTATTGCGCACACAATAAGAGATTTCTTAAACTAAATCCGACACTTAACGGGTTAACCTTCTGATCTACAATATTATGTCAGACTCGTGAAAAAAATTTTAAACCGAATTTAAAGATTCAAGTGTGATTTATTTTTTAAATATAAATTAAATATTCATCTTCTATTATCACTCGTCAACCTTTGAAGTAAACGTAGACGTAGAATTAACAAAAAAATTTTTCTGTTTCCAATCAATTGTTAACAATAAAGTAGTTGTAATGATCATGGTTAAGAAATAAATCATAGGGCAAGGGATTAAATTACCGGAGAGTTAGGAAACGCCTTAAAGATAAAAGGAAAACTGTACCAGGCGGAGCCCTTTGTTTATGGCTGGTCGCTTAACTGTTAATCAGCTGTCAGTACGTGTTTTGGCTGATTAGTGCGCAACCGTAAGTTTTTCTTCGCAAAATTTCTATGAAATAATACATATTCAGGGACGAAAGGGATAAATGTCTTAAAATTTAGTAATGCTTCAAAAATATTTATTCTTTCCGCCGTATTTTTCAAAGTCTTTACACGAAAATTAAAGCAGGATACCTTATATAATGAGCTTAACACGTTCGCCGACAATGAAAACCTTAATGAGCTACAAAAATAGACAGGCGATTTTTTTAGTACTCCGACGATTAAAGTGCATAATAATTTCAAGAAATAAAGGCTATGTAGAATTAAATACATGATAATGTGTCTTATAAATTTGAACGTTACAGCGTGCATGTCATTTTTCGTCACAATGAAAATCAACGATATAGCATTCACGTCCGCGAACGCGTTAACCTATTAACTGTGGAATATCGTTTAAAAAATCTCTCGTTTTGCGCGCAGTAAAATAAAAAAATGAAGTGTGCACTTGTCAAACGCAGGATGGATGCACCTAGGATATTTTTCAGCGAGAAACCAAAGCAAAACAAAGAAGAACATGTTTATTTGAAAAATAAAGAATTTAGCGTTGAAAAAATTAATAGCATTTGGATTATAAGATGACATGCATACTTGTCAAACACAGCCAACTGGTTAATCCGTTAATTATAGAATTTAGTTTTAAAAATCTCTCATTGTGCACACAATAAAATTTAACAATCACATGTGTACTCGTCAAAAGTAGGACAAATGCACCTAGGATATATTTTAATGAAAAGCCAAGAAGAATTACATGTTCATCTGAAAAAATGAAGCATCGGCGGTTGAAAGAATTAGTATCATTTCAAGCTTTAAGATGGTGTATATATTTGTCGCACGCAGTTAATTGATTAAAAGATGGAAAAAAAGACCGACTATATGAAAACGAAGTGGACTAGGCGCCAGCTGAAGAGGAACGATGTTAATCATAAAACCTGGACAGGATAGAGAGAACTCCCGAGGAAAAAAGTTTTTCAAAAAAAAGGACCGTTCCCAAAAGCGGTGAAAGAGGATTGCCCGTGTTCTCAGAATCGATGGGACGAATGAAAGCGTGGGAGCACTAAAACTCGCGAAATTAAAAGTAAAAAAATCCCATGCGGAAAGACTGGCAAGACGAAAATGGAAGTTGAATATGGAAAAGGGAGATGTAATTGGAATCGGTCTGGAAAGACGAGTGTGTTACAAAGGAAGCAAGAGAGTGAAACGACGATAATGCATGCAAGAATGAGCACATTTAGACAGAGAATCCGAGGATGAAAGGACGAGCGAGTGGAAACAGACAATTAGTAGATGGCAAATAAAACTGAGGATCAGAGAATTGAAGTGGCCGTAAAAAATGGACAAAGAGATGAAACGATGGTGTACAAAGTTGTAGAATAAATGAATAACAAATGAAAATGTAGAAAATCACTTTTAAAAGGTTTATGGATCCCTAACTGTTCTGGTTCTGCAAATAATGTGTATATTTCTGCTTTAGAAGACAAATGATGCAGAAAATATCATTGTTTCTTGGTTTGGAGCTATAGCTTACTGAATTTTTCATAAATATGTATATATCGTGCAGAAAAACAAAAGATTGTATGTTCTTATTTAGTATAATGAAACGAATAAAGAAATTAGTACTGACAGTAAGTTTAACACTAAAACTACCAAATGGGTCAAACTAACGTATTTTGGAACTCTTCTTTCGCAATTATGGGAAAGACACAGATGATTTTCTCAGAAATTCCTCAATAAATTGATTTAGATAAATACAAACTAGAATACAAGGAAATTAAAATCTCAATACATGTATTTTTATAAGTTTTATAAGGAAATATAGAATAATCAATTTTACTGGTCGGTAGTTCCAGTATTCATTTATTTGTAAGTTTAACTTTCCAACAAAACTAATATTGTTTTACGTTCTTCTCTCTAATTCTGATTGTCAGAGTTTCTTAATTTTTAATGAATTCTGAAGAGGCAATAAGGATTTTATGTTCACTATGAATTGTAGATTTATTTTAGAATTCACAGTGAAATAGTTTCTCACTTGCGTTTATTAAGAACGAACGATAGTGATAGTTCTAAAACTGTTAATAACTCCAGGAACTTCGTTCTTTATTATATGCCAGTGGTCTTATAACGCCATGGATTGAAAAATCAACATTCCATAAAAAATATATACATCATAAAGAGCAGATTGAACAAAGAAATTAAAAAATTAAAAAATTAAATTTCGTTTAGATCAATATTTACTTGTGTTAATATTCAATAAACTCAAGTTTTAAGTATTTATGTTGATTCGTCTTTCTGAAAAATTTTATAAATCATTTAAATAATTCGGACTGTAAAAGGTTAATTACATATTTCTGTGATTATATTCGTCA